AATATTTTTTTTATTTTCTAAAAATATTTTTTTTTATTTTCTAAAAATATTTTTTATTTTCTAAAACTATTTTTTTTTTATTTTCAATTTTAAAAATTATATAAAAAAATTGTAAAATTTAAATTTTTTTTTAATTTTTTTTTTAATTTTTTTTTTAATATTTTTTAAATATTTTTTATTTATTTTTTTATTTTCTAAAAATATTTTTTTTTATTTTCTAAAAATTACTTTTTTTTTATTTTTAATCATTATATTTTCCTTTTATTTATTACCAATCCAAACCCGCTTGTCTATATTTAACTTATTTATTTATGTAGTTATTTACGTTTTGTCTTTTTTTTGTTTATTTTACATACCAAGTAAGTTTTTGACAATATTATTTATGTTAAAATGTCAGGGGCTGTCAGCAAACAGGTTGCGCTTGTTCTGGCCTGGGTTTCTTGAAATCACAATCTTCTGGCGGTTGGAACATTGTCTGTGGCTATGGTTCTTACAATCAAACTTATATATGTATGAGTGTGTGTGAGTGACTTTGGGCCGTACACTGCTGCTGGCTGCAATTGTAGCAGAGTTAATACTGTAAACGGGCTGTTACTGACAGGTTGAATGGCTGGCTGGCTAGCTGGCTGGCTGGTTGGGTTGGATTGACTTGGCCAGGCCAGGCCGGGAATGGCTGGCAATGGATGACTGCCAATGGTGACGATGGTGGTGCTGGTGTGGCTTTGTTTTCCCGCTTTTAAAGACTTGTCTCGTGTGGTTAACCCGCTTTAGGACATTCTGCTGTTCTACCGTGGCTGCTTTCTGAACTGACCACCACCAGCAGCATCCACTCCACATCATCATCAGGTTTTGCGTTCTGCATTGGCCATTTGTGTGTGTGTCCACAGCAAACGTACGTATGAATTATCAGATATGGGTCACAGCGCAAAAAGCGCAGTTATAACTGAAATCTGTATAGGCGTATTATATGGTCGGTCTGATGGTTGGTTTGATGGCTGGTCAACTGGTTGTGTGTGACGGTCAACATATTTATGGAATTTCAATCAAGTCACGGTGATATAAACAACAGCAGCAGCAACAACAAAAACAACAATTCCAAAAATGCATGCATATATATTTTTTTTATTTATTTAATTTATTATAAAACCAAACAGGTATTTTGTTTTTTGGACTAGTGAACTGATTTTAGTGCGACTTGACAAATGCAAAGGCTGCAGATCATCTTTGAAATGATGTCATGAAATTGGGGCAGCATCTTGATTTTTGGATTTGATAGTGGTTCGGGGAGTTTTGGGACATGTTGGCTTTAAAAATTGGAGCTGCTTGGATCAGACAGTGTTTGAATACTTATTTATTCACAAAGTTTAAGAATTTGAATTTAAAAAAAGAATATATTTCAGACTATTGTTTGAAAAAATACCAAGTCATTGATTGAAAAAAAAAAAAAATGTAACCGGCGAATTTGCCGGACAAGGCTAGCTCTTAAGTAATTTTTCAAAGATATTTCTAAAGAAATTTTTCTAGGGCCAGCAGATCGATGTGGACTTTTATAAGATTTTTTATACGCGCAGTCATATGGCTAGATAGGGTAAATATAATTTGATGCGGGCAGAACGTGCCTCATCGAAATAACGGTTTTAGACCCTAGGTCTCTTTGTCCTTATCAGGACATTTGGAGTCGATCCACTGATGTTTGACCCTACGTCTGTCTGTCTGTCTGTGTGTTGCGCCGATAACTTTCGAAGGAAGTATCCGATTTGGTCCAAACTTGCTACATCGTAAAATGTTTATCAAACTTACATCGAGTTCGGAGATGAGCAATATCGGTCCACTCCTTCTGGTACCTCCTCTACAAAAGCTCTAAATTTTCCAAAATATATTTTACTGCCCAGGAAGAGAAAGGCTACTCCGATTTTGCTCCAACTTTGCAAATCTTAATATTTTCATCAGATCTAGGCCAGGTGCGAAAATGGATAATATCGGTCCACTACATCAAGTACCTCCCCTACAAGATTTTGAGCTATTATAAATAGTGAAATGGGAGTCCGATTGTCTTTAAATTGTATTTTCACCAGCAGGAGGTCTGGTGCGAAAATGGGGTATATCTGGTACTTCCCCACAAAGGTCAAATTTTTGAATACTTATATCTCTTATAAAATTCGAAATAAGCATCCGATTATTTTTAAACTTGGTAAATCCCAATATTTCTAACAACACATGGAAAGTTGTGCAAATGGGGGTATATCGGCCCACTTTTTCTGGTACCTTCCCCACAAAGGGTCATCATTTGGAATATACATGAATCTCATAAAATGCGAAATCAACATCCGATTCCATTCAGATTTTGTACACCTAAATATTTCCATCAACACAAGATCCGTTATAAGATGGTAGAGATCGGATCATTCCTTCTGGTACCTCCCCCAGGAAGAGTCAAAGTTTTGAAAAACCAAAACGATTATAAAATCCGAAATAAGCATCCAGTTCTCTCCATATTTCACACATCCCATTATATCTACTAGCACAAGATCTGCTGTGACCACAACGGGTCTACATTTTGACCCGTGAAGCTCATAAAATGCAAAATTAACATCCGATTCCATTCAAACTTGGTACATCTCATCGATCTGCTGTGAAGATGGAACATATCGGTCCATTACTTATATTACCTCCACCACAAAGGATCGAAATTTTGAATATTCTTGAAGCTCATAAAATGCGAAAACGCTATCGGACCATTCCTTTTGGTACTTCCCTCACAAAGGGTCAAAGTTTTGAAAAACCAAAACGATTATAAAAACCGAAATGAACATTCGGTTCTCTTCATATTTCACACATTCTATTATTTCTACTAATACAAGATCTGCTGTGAAGATGGAATATATCGGTGCACTTCTTCTAGTAACTCCCCCACATAGGGTCAAAATTTTGAATATCCATGAAGATCACAAAACGCGAAATTAATATCCGATTCCATTTAGACCCCTGATACAACTCAATATTTCCATCAACACAAGATCTGTTATAAAGATCTGCTCAGGACTTCTTCTCCAAAATGGCCTTTTTGTAAGAGATGTAGCTGTTCCTCTCTAGAGAGATCTTCAAATTATGATCTACGAAAATACGATCGAGAGATTTGATCTGAAAATCTGCAGATTTTTTTATCAAAATAAAATCTGGCTTATCTTCTCCCCAGAGATTTTCTGTTATTCTTAGAGTAGATCCTCGAAACATGCTGCATTTTCAACTGATTTTTACTTAGAACTTTTTGTAAGAGATCTACTGAACTTTATTATTGACAAAGTCAGATTTTTCTCACAAAAGTGTTCAAGTATGAATATATGTATGTATGTATATAAGAATGTATGTATGCATTTCTATATATGTGTGTATGTCTGTATGACTGTGGGTATTATTGTTTGTACATCCATGTGTAATTAAATGTAATCTATTCCTTCACGAAAAAAATCTTTAATTTTTATACCCTACACCTCAAGGTGGTCAGGTGGTATTATGTCTTTGTGCATTTGTTTGTAACAGGCAAAAGGCAACGAGATAGACCCATAGTTCCTTTTGGTGATCTGCATAGAATCACTTTCTGAGTAGATTTATGCATGTCAGTCCGTCTGTCCGTCCGTCCGTCCGTCCGTCCGTCTGTCCATGTATTCTTGTGAACAAAATGCAGGTCGCATTTATTAACCGATTGAGATGAAATTTTCCAAACAACATTTGTTTGGCCCAAGGACGAACCCTATTGAAATTGGAGCTAATCGGTAAAAATTTAGATATAGCTCCCATATATATCTTCGTCCGATTTGCCTTTTATTGTGCACCAAACGTGTAATATCCGTCCGAAGTATGAAATTTTGCACATACAACCAAATTAGGCCAGAAAATAAGTATACCAAATTTGATCGAAATCGGTTTAGATATAGCTATAGCTCCCATATATATTTTTTATCCGATTTGTTATTTTAGTGCTCCGCAGCCGTAATATGCACTCGGTAACAACAATATTTGGGGAAATATATCAAATACAGCTCAGTAATATATTTGCTAAATTTTATCGAGATCGGTTCGGATTTGGAAATATCTTCCATATATAACTTCGCCCGATTAACTTTTATTGGGCACCAAAACGTCTTATATTTACCCAAATGGGATGAAGTTTGGCACTTACGACCGAATTGAGTCTAGAAGGTAGTATGCCAAATTTGGTGAAGATCGGTTCAGATATAGCTGTAGCTCCCATATATTCTGTTCATCCGATTTGTTATTTCCTTGTCCTCCGCAGCCGTAATATGCACTCTGTAACAACAATATTTGGGGAAATATATCAAATGCAGCTCAGAAATACCTTTGCTAAATTTTATCGAGATCGGTTCAGATTTGTATATAGCTCCCGTATATAACTTCGTCCGATTTACCTTTGATTGTGCACCAAACGTCTAATATTTACCCAAATGGGTTGGAATTTGGCACATACGACCGAATTGAGTCTAGAAGGTAGTATGCCAAATTTGGTGAAGATCGGTTCAGATATAGCTGTAGCTTCCATATATATTGTTCATCCGATTTGTTATATATTTGTTACCCACAGCCGTAAAATGCACTCCATAACCACGATATTCAGGGAAATATATCAAATACACCTCAGAAATATCTTTCCCAAATTTTATCGAGATCGGTTCCGATTTGGATATAGCTCCCATATATATTTTTATCCGATTTTAAATTAATTGTGCCACAAATGGGCAATACAAGTCCGAATTTAAAAGATACAAATGCTTCGGCATTATTTAGTCCTTTGAACTTTAAATTATAATTTTTAAAATTATTAATTCTCCCATAAAAACTTTTAATTGTTATGTGGAGCTCAACTAAATTAGCAAATTGGTGTAGGGTATCATAAAATCGGCCCCTCCCGACTTAAGGGCTTTCTTTACTGGTTTTTCCTTCCATTACTCATTTTCTTATCTCATTTATTTCATTTTTTTCAGAATTTCTTCCCCACCCACTTTTCCGGTTTAAAATTTCGACTCTTGGAAGAAAACGCAGTGTTTAATTTTTTTCAAGCAACGAAAACTAAAACGAAACTCAGAGAAAGAGAGAAGAAAATTCATTAACAAAAAAAGAACGAAGGAATTTGAATAGAAAACGAAAGAACCTTCTTACAACTACAACAGCAACAACAACAACAACGAACAACATCTGAAGCGAAAAAACAACAACAAAGAAACAACAATACGTTCTTAGATAATCAAAAAAGGCACGTCCAGCCAGCCAGCCAGACCTATTGAACCAATTCAAATCCCGAAAATAAATAAAATAACCTTCCGTGGAAAACTCACCCCCCCTCCAACTGCGACGTCTACAAAAGCAACAACAACAACTTAAACAAGGTAAGTTAAATATCAAACTCATGATAATTCAGATAGATGATAGAAGCAAGAAAGGTAGGTTGGTTGGAAGGAAGGCCGGGGAGAGGGGGACGATATAAACTACAAACGATTATGATGATGAATAGACATTTGTTTCTCTTTATTGTTTGGAGTTTTCTCCCACCGCCGACGAATGAGGTTCTCTCTCATGATATGGCTTGTTGTTAGAAATGGCCATAATTAAATATTATGTAAAACCACCACCACCACCACAACCAACAACAACAACAAATACCACTTTACGTGTAAGCAATTGCTTCAGGGAAAACCCTGTGTCTGTGAAGGAAATCTTCAGATAGCAGAGGTTCAGCGGGAAAAATCTTATGTTTTTTCCTCGTAAACAATTTTCAAATGGTGGGGGGAAGGTAATTTAGTTTTCTTCATCTTCCACCTTGGCCAACGTTAGGTAAATATTTGTAGTTAAGGTGTTAACTTTGGGAGGGATTAGGAGAGGGAACAATAATTAGATACCTGAAGAGAAATGATCTGTAATATCAAGCTATGGGGAGGACATGATATGTGATAAATGAGATCATAATATAAGGGCTATAGAAAATCTCTCTGTGAGGTATAAATAAGTATATAAAGGGTGAGATGAAAAAACTGCAGCCAATTTTAGACTGCTGTCATTCCTAAGCCACACGTCCGACAGCTATTAAAATTATTCCAGTGACAGCTCATAATAATGTTTACAAGCGTACAACAGCATTTTGGTGAGAATTTTCCAGAAAAAATGTTATTCGTGATGGAATGGAATTCAAGCGTTATAGTGTGATTTCTTTATATTTGGCTAGAAAACCACAAGTGGCTATCGTTAGAGCACTCCAGCATTTAAATGTGAATAATTTTTTTGTGTTTCGTACCATCGCTCATGATACTGGTATCGTAGCCCGACATCAAGGAAGTGGACGGGAGAAATCAGCAAGATCAGCAGAAATGGTTCGAAAAGTAAAAAAGCGACTTAATCGAAATTCGCGTCGCTGTGGCCGAAAAATGGCTAGGTTCATGAGCTGAACATATCGCAATATTCCATACGGCAAATATTAAAAAATGAGCCACTGAAATTCCAAAAAGTTCAAGAACATGTACCGCAACGTAATCAAAATAGACTCAAAAGAGCTAAAGCGTTGCTTCGCCTGGCCGAAAGTGGTGAACTGCCGAATTTGGGTTTCTCCGATGAGAAAAAATTGTCCAGCAGTTTGCAAATGAGACACATACAAAATGATCGTATTTACTTGACAAAGAGGTCAGCTGAAAATGTACACCTTCGGTTGGCCATCAGAACTTAAGCGCCGACCATGGTGATGATGTGGGCCGCCATAACAGCCGATAGTTGCTCCGCGCTCGTATTAATCGGTCGTGGCATCAGAATAAATGCCGAATATTATCGCGAAAATATTGTGGAGTGTGTATTAAAGCCTTGGGCACGCAAACATTTTGGCCGCATACCTTGGACATTCTAACAGGACTCAGCTACATCGCACTCAGCACGCCCAACCCAAGAATGGTTACAAAATGAGGTTCCTCGCTTCATTTCCAGCGCACAATGACCACCAAAATCTCCGGATACCAATCCGTTGGACTATTGCGTCTGGAGTAGTTTGAAAAGCAAGGTTGGCACTAAAAAATACCAAAGTGTCGATCACCTCAATCAAGGCCAGTAGATGACCTCTGATGGCATCTACTCTCCAGAAGATGATCTCTGATGGAATCTACTCTCCAGTAGATGACCTATGGCGGTATCAACTCTCCAGTAGGGGACCTCCGACGACAACTACTATCCAGTAGATGTCCACCGAGGCCAGATACATCAAATGTCCACTGGAACCATCTACTCTACCGTTGCTGTGACACTCGAAGTGAACAGAAGTGCTTTAAGTCTCGCGGACAGTTTGCAAAAGATTTTAAAATTCCTATCGGTTAACTTAGTGGTTTACGTTTACCTTTGGTGATACCATAAGAAAAAAACAATGGATTTATTACAAGTCTCAACAATTGTTTGTAATAAGTGTAATTTGTCGATAGCTTCTGCTAATTATGTATGGTGCCGTAACTGCGACAGAAAATACCACTTTTCAACATGTTCGGTGCTCTCTGAAGCCAGTTACAAAACCATGAGCACGATGAGAAAATTGGAATGGAAATGTGAGATTTGTAAGCCAAGGCAAAAATCTCCTAACAACACATACCAAACATTCGTCTATACTGGTGAGACGCAATCTAATACAAACCAACAAAATGAACCTGTGGCTGAAAACCCCACAACACCTCAAATACTGAGTGAAGAACAAATGTCAGTGGAGACAAATGTTCATAAACAACTACAGAAGAAACCAAGAGAGGATGATGTTGGAAATGGTGATAGCAGTCTCAACAACAACAGAAAACGATTTAAAGATAAACCAACACTCATTATCCCCAACAACAACAACACAATACATGAGCCTCTGCCTAACCGTACTAATGAGTATGCAGAGCTCAGGTTGGACATAGGAGAACTGAAAACAGCAATGCAGCAAATGATCATTAACATGAATGCATTTACTGTTTCCAACAACAACATGACTGAGAGTCTCAATAAAATAAATGAGACACTTGCTAATATCTCTACTCAGGTCGTTGACCTCCAAAACAAAGATAAGGAGAAGAGTAGACAGATAAATGAAATGGAGATGAGAGTGAAACAATTAGAGCAAAAGATGATTGAGCGCAACATAGAAATTAACAGCGCGAATGCTGTCGGAATGGAGACAGAGACGGTTGTCAAGATGATTGCAGCTTCTATGGGTGTCGAAGTAAACGACTCTCATATTGAGAACTCATATAGAATAAAATCAAAGAATAAGATAATTGTTGAATTCTCTTCAATGCTTAAGAAAAAAGAGATAATGAAAAACTTGAAGAGACATCGAATCGATGAGTGCGTTCTTGATGGGAATAATAATTGTCCAACAAATAGATACATCTATATTAACGATGAGCTTACGGCAGAAAATAGACGTATCTTATGGATGTCTAAAAACAAAGCCAAAGAAATGGACTGGAAATTCGTGTGGACTAAAAATGGTCAAATATACGCAAAAAAGAATGAAAACTCTACACAAATTTCCATAAACAATCTCAATGATATTGAACGTATTTCAAATGAACCACAATAAAAAAAGCAAGGAAAACAATTTATTACCGCATTAGAGGATAAAATAACAAGAAATAACACAAAGCCTAATTTTTCAAACTTTTTTATGAAAAAGTCAAAATTAAAATAAAATAAATTGAATAACTAAAAAAGACTATTGATTTTTTTTTTTTTAATAAATAAAATAAAAACAAAATGAATTACCACACTAACTTTAATGAAATCAATAAATATTACGTTAAACAGCCAATATCTTTGATATGTATGAACATACGATCCATTAGAAAACATTTCACTGATTTTTTAACTAGAATTAAAGATTTAATTGGAGAAATAAAAATAATAATTCTAACAGAGACAAACATAAACGATGACGAAATACAGTTCTATCAAATAAAGGGTTATAACTCAACATTTTTAAATAGAGAAAAAAGAGGAGGTGGAATCGCTTTATATATAAATAATGAAATTGCATATAATGAAATGAATATAAACACAACGTTCTTTGAAACTAATTTCATAGAATTAACAACGAAAACTAACTGTCTGACAATAATTCCTTGCTATCGCCCTCCGAATCTTAACATAAAGAAATTCATTGAGGAACTAGATCAATGTATAAACAAGATCAACAAAAAACATGGAGTCATACTTGTAGGAGATATGAATCTTGACATTTGTAGCAATAGTTCTTTATCAAAACTATATTTGGATATGTGTGCGTCAAACGGTCTAAGGAGCTATATCAACGGAAAAACAAGAGAAGATGAACGTACAGGGAGTAGAACTTGCATCGATCACTTGTTTATTAGATATAACTCTAAATTCGATGTAAAATCAGCAATCATTGCAACAAACATATCTGATCACTACACTGTATTTGGATCCATTATAACGGAGAATACTGAAATGGAACCCAGCAACCATGTTATAGAAAATTTAAAAATAAACAACAAAAAAGTTAGTGATCTGATAAAAAACATAGACTGGAATAAAATTATCGAAGAAACTAATGGTACAAATGAGCTATTTCTTAAAATTTACAACACTTTTCGAGAGATTTATGAAAAGTCAACTGAAATTAAAATAAATAGAAAGAAAAAAAGAAATGATCACCCATGGTTAACCGAAGAACTTATTAACTGCTGTAATATACGAGATAATTTATACAAAAAATATCGCAAAAACAAAAGTAAAACTAATGAACAACTATATAAAAATTTCAATAACCAACTAAATAAGAGAATTTTAAATGCCAAAAACTCTTTTTATTATCAGAAATTTATCCAAAATAGAAGCAATATACGTGAGACATGGAAAACTATAAATCAAGTCATTGGCAAAAAAGTTAGTAGCATAGACGAAACTATTAAAATCAATTTTCCTAATCAAAACAAATGTGAAATCACTGAACAATTCGCAAAACAGTTTAAATATAACGTAGAAAACATCATACATACATGCGATAAAAAAACATTGTCTGATGCTGAAACAACCATTTCAAATTCAATCTATATTGAAAACACAAACACTACAGAAATCAAAAACATACTAAAAGGACTCAATACGAAAAAAAGTGCGGGTTTAGATGGCATTAGACCCATAGACTTAAAAACCAATGCAGAAATTATGGCGCCCGTGATAACTGATCTCATAAACAGAAGTATAGATGAATCTATAATTCCGGAACTTCTCAAGACATCTATAATCCGTCCGATATACAAGAGTGGAGCTAAGTCAGCGTTTGAAAATTACAGACCAATCTCGATCCTTCCAACAGTTGAGAAAGTTCTAGAAGAAATAATTGCTAGACGGTTAAATAACT